TACATGTAGGGGCCTAGGGGGGGGCGGCGTCTGATGTTCGAGGTACCCCTGTACAGGGGTACCTCGCTCATAAGAAACCGCCCCCCCCCAGGACCCTACAGTAGGCCTATGCCTTGGGCCCTATGGTGGTCCTAGGGGGGACGCGTTTTCTTATGAGCGAGGTAGCCCTGTACGCATAGGCCTACTGTAGGGTCCTAGAGGGGAGTGCTTTCTTATGAGCGAAGTACAGGGGTACCTCGCTCATAAGAAACTGCCCCCCCCCTAGGAACATCGTAGGGCCCTAGGCATAGGCGTACTGTACATGTAGGGGCCTAGGGGGGGGCGGCGTCTGATGTTCGAGGTACCCCTGTACAGGGGTACCTCGCTCATAAGAAACCGCCCCCCCCCAGGACCCTACAGTAGGCCTATGCCTTGGGCCCTATGGTGGTCCTAGGGGGGACGCGTTTTCTTATGAGCGAGGTAGCCCTGTACGCGATCAAATAGCGCTGCTTTTGAAAGTGGAGACCTTTATTACTACCAACAGGGCCGCCATGCATGCACCCCCACCGAGGCTGTGTCTGAGCAGGGGCGCCGAGAGAGGTCATGTGCTGCCCCACTTTGTAAAGCGACAGGAATGAATTGGTGCTTTGGTGCTTTGTATTACACTGACATCGAAGGCCGCGCCCACCGCACTCTTGAGTAGATGTGTGAGCCCCGGTCGGACAGGTTGCGAGCCTCGGTCGGACAGGTGACGAGCCTCGGAGGTTGACTAAGGAAGATAAGTTGACGGGCGTCAGGCAAGACGGCCGATGAGGGTGCGTTCTCGCTCGCGGTTTGCCATGAGATGCATCACCTGCACACCCGGCCTGTTTCAGAACTCCATTTGATATTTTGGCGCCACGTCACACGTCTGAATTCCATTTTCGAGTCCATCTACGAGTACAGGGGTACCTCGCTCATAAGAAACCGCCCCCCCCTAGGACCCTGCAGTAGTCCTATGCCTAGGGCCCTATGGTGGTCCTAGGGGGGGAGCGCTTTCGTATGAGCGAGGTACCCCCCGTACGAGTTCACCTGATTATTGCCCGGGAAACATGCCAAAAGTCTAGGCATTTGAGCAATTCCTGGGCGCAATAATGTTACATCTGTACCACGAAACACGTTTAGCGCGAAACGTTGCGTTTGAAATTAGCACTTGTGACCTAGCGTGGCACCAAGAGAAATCAATGTACGCCAGGGCACAAGCCAGAATTTCGCACGGAACGTTTCGCGCAGAAACCGAGGGATCTTCGATGCAAGGTGGATCAGAGCATCAAAACGCGACAGGGGCAGTGTGTGTTGTGGGGCGGGGGTTTTGGGTTTGGGGTTCTGGGTTTTGGTTTTGGGTTTTGGTTTTGGGTTTTGGGTTTTGGGATTTGGGTTCTGGGTTTTGAGTTTTGGGTTTAGGGTTTTGGGTTCAGGGTTCAGGGTTCAGGGCTCAGGGTTCAGGGATTCGGGCTTCGGGTTTAGAGCGTAGGGTTTCGGGTTTCGGGTTCAGAGCGCAGGGTTTCGGGTTCGAAGCATGGGGTTTCGGTGTCGGTACCTGCGCATCAGGGCAGAGGCACCGGAACGCAACAACCTTCGGCGCCACGGTGTAGGGTTTAAGGTTTGCAGGTGTAGGGTTTCGGGTTTGAAGGTTGGAGGTACCTGCGCATCAGGGCAGAGGCGACGGAACGCCTCCACCTTCGGCGCCACGGCCGCCTCGACCTGTTTTCGGGTTTATTATTTATTATTTATTATTTAGTGTTTCTGGTTTCTGGTTTCTGGTTTCTGATTTCTGGTGTCGGGTTTCGGGTTTCGGGTTCAGGTTTTAAGTTTTCTGGTTTCTGGTTTCTGGTTTCGGGTTCAGGGGCTAGGATTTACGGACCGCGGCGAACGAGTTCCCCAAGGCCTTGAGCGTGACGATGCACAGCGCGCGCGGGGCGAGGAGCGCGAGACACCTGTTTCAGGTTGTTGATTATTATTATTATTATTATTATTATTATTATTATTATTTATTTATGACTCATTATTTCTTATTTACCATTTATCATTTATTATTTATTGTTATTGTTTAGGGTTCGGGGGTTAGGGTTTCGGGTTTCGGGTTTCGGGTTTCGGGTTTCGGGTTTCGGGTTTCGGGTTTCGGGTTTCGGGTTTAGGGAGTACGATTCGAGGATCGCGATCGGGCACGTGTGCGGTTGGTACACCATATCGCACACGTACACCTGCGTTTGGGTTTTGGGTTTAGGGTTTGGGGTTTGGGGTTTAGGTTTTAGGTTTCAGGTTTCAGGTTTCAGGTTTATGTTTTAGGGCTTTAGGTTTTTAGGTTTTTAGGTCTTTAGGTTTTTCATTTTTCATTTTTCAAAAGTTTTTTAGGGTCTGTTTTTTGTTTTTTGTTTTTTGTTTTTTGTTGTTGTTTTTTGTTTTTTGTTTTTTGTTTTTTGTTTTTTGTTTATTGTTTTTTGTTTTTTGTTTTTTGTTTTTTGTTGTTTGTTGTTGAGGGTAGACCGAGAGGGACGCGGCGCGGCCCTCCGCGAGCAGCATCGGCACCGCGTCCTGGATCAGCATCACCACGTGCCTGCTTTCAGGTTTGGGGTTTGGGGTTTGGGGTTTGGGGTTTGGGGCTTGGGGTTTGGGGTTTGGGGATTATGGTTCAGGTTTTAGGGTTTAGGGTTTAGGGCTTAGGGTTTAGGTTTTAGATTTTAGGTTTTACGTTTGCGGGTTCAGGGATGAGGGTTTAGGGATCAGGGATTAGGGATTAGGGATTAGGGTTTAGGGTTCAGGGTGTAGGGTTCAGGGAGTAGCGTACCGCAGACGCGTCTCCGGGAGGGGCGGGTCGATCGTGAGCACTGCTGGGTGCACTGCGAACACCTACCACCGTCACGTCCAATTCACGCGTCCATCTATTGTACATCGTATTTTGGTACGTACAGTGACGCAACATGCTACACGTCGAAGGGGTTTAGGACGTAAGGGTGTAGGGTTTAGCGTACCGCAGGCGCGTCTCAGGGAGGGGCGGGTCGATCGTGAGCACTGCTGGGTCCACTGCGAACACCTGCGTTAGGGCTAGGGTTTCAGGGTTTTAGTGTTTTTAGTGTTTTTAGTGTTTTAGAGTTTTAGAGTTTTAGGGTTTAAGGGTTGAGGGTGTAGGGTCCACAGAGGACACCTGCGAACGGTGAGGAGAGAGAGATTGATAATTTATTGCCAAACAACCAGCGTCAGCGCCGCACATGCTACGCATTGTGCCACTTACTGTACCCCGTGTCGGCCGCTCATACGAGCATTTTCCGGATGGATTCTAACTCCACCTTCTACCAACGGTGAGGAGTTAGAACGTCGCTCTCGTTTCACTAGGTTAGGACCTGTCTACAGGACCTTTACGAGGGCAATCAAGAAGAAGAAGAGGACCTGCGTGGTTTCGGGGTTCGTGTTTCGGGTTTTGGGTTTCGGGGTCACTGTTTGTTGTTCATTGTTTAGAGCTTAGGGATGAGGGTTTCGAGTTTCGAGTTTAGGGTTTTGGGATTAGGGGTTAGGATGTAGGGTCGTTGTTTAGATCTTAGGGATGAGGGTTTCGAGTTTCGAGTTTAGGGTTTAGGGATTAGGGGATGGGAGTTAGGGTCACCTGGGTGCAGCCGCGGGCGACGAGGTTCTGTGACCACCCCTGGTTGAGGCCTTAGGGTTTAGGATTTAGGATTTAGGGTTCAGGGTTTAGGGTTTAGGCTTTAGGCTTTAGGGTTCAGGATTTAGGGTTTAGGGTTGAGGGTACACCCCCGGCGCGGCCCCGACGTCGATGGCGAGGCACCCGGGCACCGCACCCTCCTCCTTGCACCGCACCAGCGCCTCGCCCAGCTTGAAGAACGCGCGCGACGCCGCCCCTGACTCGTCCGCGGCGTGGAGGGCGCATTCGGGCGCGGAGGGATCGGTGCGGGACCAGCAGAGGTGCCACCAACCCGAGTCCGCGACCACGGCCGAGATGGAGATGTTGTTGGCGGTGGGGGAGAGCGGGATGCCGCGCGCGTCCAGGCCCTGGACTAGCGCCGCTTGGGCCACCTTCGGAAACGCCGTCACGCGCGCAACAGCGTCGTGCGGCAGGAACTCCAGCAACGCCTCCACTGCTTCCACAGAGCTCCCCGCCACACCCGACCACGCCCCCACCCCCCGCTCACGCCCAGCCTCCCCCTTCTTAGGAGCACCCGCGTCCATAATCGCCCCCCCCGCCGCCGCACTTTCCCCGTCCCCGCCCCCCCCCCCCTCTCGCTCTCGCCCCTCCGCCGCCGCCGCCTCCCCCGTCCGGAGAGCGCCCAACGGGATCGCCCTCTGGAGAAGGCGCGCCAATAGTGGGTCTCCTTCCAGCCGTCCTGCGAGAGCGCGTGACTCCTCGACGCTGCTAGACCCCCCCCCGGGCGAGGCGGGGCACGCGAGGAGCACCCTCACGTTCCTCTGCCCGTTGGCTGGTGCCTGGGGCCCAGGTTTCTGGTTGGCGCGTGCGGTAGCTTGCAGCTCGCGTAGGCGGGACGCCGAGAAGGCTTCGCCACTCACCGACAACACGTCGAGATCGAAGACGTCTCGGATGTATGCCTGCACCCGTTCTACGTGCGTGGACGGACACACGAGCCCGACCGTGACAGGCAGCGGATCTCCCTGGGGCGCGCTCCCCCAGCCCAGCCCACCCTCGCCGTACGACGGCGTCGTTACCAGAGTCTTTGCCTTCTTCCGCCGAGCGGCCCTGCCAGGCTTGCTAGGCTCCGCGTCCGGTGCCATCCTGCCAGGCTCCGCGTCCGATGCCATCATGCTTGCTGGCTTGCCACGGCCCCAAGAGGCTTTTGCTCGCAGGGCGAGCAAACCCACAAAACGGGTCTTCAGATCCACTTTTGAGGTGTTTCCCCTCTGCAATCCGCCAAATTGACATTTGCAATAGACCCCCCCCCCACCGTGCGGCTGGTACTAGTACCGGAGATTTGAAAGACGAGGATGAAATTTTCTAAACTCGCAGACTTGGGGATGGTCCCATGGTCTAGTGGTCATGACATGAGACTTTGAATCTCAGGACGCGGGTTCGAACCCCGCTGGGACTTACAACAGCGAATTTCCAACCTTTTCTTTTTGCCCTTTCTTTTTGCCCTTTTTTTGCCCTTTTTGCCTTTTTTGCCCTTTTTTGCCTCCCGCTCTATCTTAGGCTTCAGACGCCGAAGATAAGGGTGTCTATGCTATTTTAGGCATACATTGATGCTATTTTACGCCTTTTTTTGTGGACAAATTCTGTGATGTTCCGAGATGACTTTTTTGCCTTTCTTTTGTGACGGGACCCTAGGGACCTGGGACGTCAGGAGGTTCATAACCGGTTACGATCCCTAGGATCCAAGGGTCGCAAAATCCACAAAATCCATGAATCCATAGGTAACGTGTTCAGATCCCTGCAAAATCCTCGGAGTCTTGAGAGTCCAAAGTCCGGATCCCGACTGGGCCTGGATCATACAAGGGGGGGATCTCCCTTTCTTTTGGTGGCTCTGAGGAGCGCCAGCGGCGCACGGACTAGGCTGTTCCACAGTCCCGAGGGATACGCGGACCCGTCTACGTGCTGGTGTTTGAGAAACGAGGGCGGGGGCCGTAGCCGCTTTGCACGTCAGAAAGGGGGGCTGTCTTCAGTTGCCGCCTCCATGGACCCCACGCAGATGCTGGCGCGGCAGCATTGCGACCTGTGCGAAGATGTGGTACGCTCCCCGAAACAACAGGGGACGCGCCGCACTGCGGGGGCATCGGCCCGGTGTGTGACAGTCTGTGCCGTGATGAATTTGAGCTGGGCTCTAGGAGAGTTTCTGCAGTGCAGATGTCGTCACGCCAGGAGGGACATTGCTCCATCCCCCACGCCCGTAACTGCCAACAGTCTGCAACGTCGACCCTGAGTCATGTTGACCCTGACCCCACTCTGCTCGCAGAGCGAGACGTTCTTCTGCTCTTCGTGCTCCCTACATTTCTGCCTGCTCTGTGCCAAGACCGTTCACGAAGACGCGGCGCGTTCAGGCCACTCGATGGCGCCCTCCGCCTCGCGCACGATCGAGGTGGCGCCGGGCGCACCGCGTGCCCCTCCAGTCGAGGACTCCTCCCGCTCGCGCGATACACGCACGCCCGACCAGCGTTCTTCATCGCGTTCTCCTCCTCCGCCTCCTCCGCAGCTTCTGAAACATCAAAAGCAGTATCGGCAGCAGGAGCATCATCATCATCATCATCATCATCATCAGCAGCAGCAGCAACAGCAGCAGCAGCAGCAGCAGCAGCAACAGCAACACCAACAACAACAGCAGCAGCAGCAGCAGCAGCAACAACAGCCTGATCGGTACCAGCCGAACGACGACCAACAAGCGTCCGCCGAAGCGCGTCCGCCAGCACGACGCGAAACACACGCTCCTCCTCCTCGTGTCGAACCACCCGCTCTCGCAACACTCGAAACACGCGGAGCGGCGCCCCGGGGAACGCCCTCCCCTCCAGGGGGGGGCGGCCACTTGCAAGGAGGGGGGGCAGGGGGCGAGTGGGTGGGGTGCGTGGGGGGGGTGCTGGAGGATGACACGGGGCTCGGGGCGCGGCTGGTGCAGGGGGGGGGGGGGGG